AAAAGCAAGGTATACAAATGCTTATGATACATACTCTCACAAAAAATCTAAATTTCCAGAGAAAGAGCTCTTTAAATTCTTCAGCAGAATTCAGAACTTTGTTTTGGTTCTGTTTATAATCTAGTATAACTTCACTACAAATGCTATACAATTTCTTCTTTTGCCTCTGAATAAATATAATTTTAAGCAGTACACCTCTGAGGAAGACTTTGTTTACTTGAATTGCTTCAGCTATGAGTATTGAAACAAAGTTACTAATTCCTCAATTCAGATATTCAGGTGCAATGCAATGATTTGGTTGATACAAGCAAAATACGCGGAAAGTTTATGTAATACTTGTGTCATACAATCCAGACTCAAACACAAGTCAAAATGATGCAACCAAATTTAATTTCTGCCAAAGCCACCAAAATCAGGGGCTCAGGGAATATCTCCCATAAAAAATGCCGGTCTGCCGGTTTGTGCTGGAAAACTGAAGATTGCTGTAAATCCTCACAGCCTCTGACTCCTCTTGAACTTCTGCAATTGACAGCAATAACTTAACAAAAAACTGCCCAGTTATCATCCAGGATTATAGTTTATTCTTCTTTTAATTAATCTGCGCCCGCCGCCGCCGCTCACCCGCCGCCTTCGGCTGTGCGGGCGCTCCGAACCCACACATCGCTACACACGGCCTGACGTCACCGAGCCCTGGCCCGCCCACGTCACTGCGGAGACACTCGGCTTCCCGCAGACCCCGCCGCCGTCTTGGGCCTCACGGGGTGGGGCGGGGACGCGGGGGGATGGGGCCGGGGCAGGGTAGCGGAGAGGGAAGGGGACGGAGTCAGCTGCGGACCCGCCGGCGTTTCTGTCCCGCTCTGGCCCTCGGGTGCGCCGCCGCCCGCCTGCTGGGTCCCCCGGGCCCCCGCACGGCGTCTCGCGCGCCCCTCCCCCACGCGCGCGCCCGGCCCAGCCGTCTGGGCCGCAGGCGCGGCGCTGTCTCACAAATAATTATTGTTAAGAAAGAGCTTCTGTATTATCCTCAATAATTGAGAACTAATTTATTAAAAATATACTAGCCCATTTTTATGATCCAACTACAATGAGTACTTTTAAAAGTATTATAAAACATAATTTTAAAAAATATTGATAGAATGAATTAGAGCCAGATGTAGGGGACTCGAAGAGGCAGATGACATTTGAGCAAGATAATCTGCAGCTAAAGGGTGGACCTTGGGCCATTCATCCACAGGTGTTCCTTGTAGAAGAAGAGCCCAAGCCTTCTGCACATAGTCATTGTTAATTACTTCCCTCACCTGCATTGTTCTGTCTCAATAAAAAGCTAGTTTAGAGGTTGCTTGGGGCTACCCTGCAAAGAAGGGCTAGCCCACCTCCCTCATGCATGCACTACTAATCCGCATCATGCCTAGTTCCTTCCTGCAGTGATAGAGCCCAGGGCCACAGGGGCCTGACAGGTAGCAAGACATCTGGCATAAGTCAACAGGATTCAGTAGGACACAACAGGACACCAGGAACATGGACCAAAGGGGAAAATGACACATGGAAGTAGGTGAAGCTTTTGGTAAATAGTGGGAGGAAGTCCAAAGGGAAACTCCACTCAGGGCAATCTAAAAGCCTAAACTCCTTATGGCCAATCTAAAAGCAAGGGAACCTCACACGAAATCAGTGAGGTGTTTTTTAACTTCTTTTATTTCAAACCATTCTCAAAAAAATAATATAATGCAATTCTATGGGAGTACTCTGCCAGCTTGGTTAGACCTGTGGTGCCTCAGCATAAAACTGAGGAAATTAAACCAGATCAATGGATGAAGTTGGAGAATAATTAAACTAAGAGTTAAACCACCGCTGTGCTAGGGAACTCCATTTGAAAAAAGAGTCTGGAATCAGTTAGCAAAGATTCTACTGGAAAAGCCGTTTAAAGCAGGAAAAACTCCACTACAGAGGAATTGTGAAGTGTGGGGCCACTAACAGACCATGAGTAACAGTCTTTGAGAGGAACTGTGAATTGTAGAACCATTAGTTCACAAGTAACAGTCTTTTGAGATCTGTGAAGGGTGGATTTAGGACCAGGAGTAGAAAAACCTTTGGAATAGCGAGAGAAAAATCCTTGCTTGCAAAGATTGCAGGGAAAGCATTATCTTTTGTTCGTCCATTAAGTTAATATCAAAGGAAAGTTCACATAATTAAGAAATGGTAAATTCTCTCAGCTGAGATTTTCTCAGTTTGTTTTCTCAACTTAAAAAGACCTTTGAGGGAATTAGCATTACAATCATGCTTTTTCCCTAGCAACAGTTAATAGTTTAAATCTGTATTGAGCTTTGTCATTTAAAGAGCCCATACCTGGAATTCATAACTTTGTCAATTACCATACTTTTCCTAGCAAGAAAAGGGCTAGATAACAGGAAGAACTGCTCTTACCCCATCAAAAATTTAATACGTTTGTATATAAAAAGGAGGATTTGTATATAAAAAGGTAGCAGCCTATATTGAATAGTAGTCCTAAGTACATGCTCACTAGAGTTCTTTTCACTCTCAGAGTGGAAGCCTGGTTATGTACTACAATGGGATCCAGGTTTCACTTATATTATTACAGAAAATCAAGAGAAGCAGTGGTTACCAGCTTGCTGGATTAAGCCTCAACACGAACAGGAAACCTTGTCAGTACCTTAACAAATTTGTTTTCATTAACTTTTCTTTTATTCACAGGACCTTAGCCTAGGTAATTTCATAATAGGGAAACCCTGGATCAATCTCCTCTGTGGGAACTCTAGCTGCCTCTCCCATATTATTATCCATCATCAGCAGAAGGCAGGTAAGAGTAATCAGCATCCTTATTCCCTAAGAGGCAGTTGGAACTTCTATGCAGAGTGGGAAGATTGACATAGGATTTCATTATTTTGGGCTGTATATTAAGCCCCAGGCAAGCTTAGGATGCATCTTCTAAACCTTGGAAGGTTATGACAACAAAGACCTCGAACAGTAGGCTTTGAGATAGCGGTTATTCTGGTATTGGCCAAGGTAAGAGAATTTCACTTGCTGGATTTATACCTGTTTCAGCTGATCTTTACTTAAAGTTATACTGCTCTTTGGAAAGGGTCTGAGTTTGGTACAGCCCTTTCCCCACCTAACATAACTTCAGGTTTGGTTAATACTTCCAATGGAAGCATCATGAGCCCTATGGGTCAGCTCATAGCACATAGTTGGGTGGTGATTAGCACAAAGGGGACAGGTTTTCCTCTATGCCTAGTTTGGCTAAAATAAGTTTCCTTTATAACTGGATTAGCTCCGTTGGTGTATTTTTGTTATACTTATATACCCTTATGTTTCTTTTACTTAGCAGGGAAGCTCCTCAGGGAGTAGAACAGCTGAAATATCAACAATAGATTTTCTCCCTTGCCTATCCAGAAATGTCTTTAATACACTAGAGGGGGGAAATATAGGGGACACTAAGAACCAGATGACTTCTGAGCAAGATTATATGCAGCTGAGGAGTGGACCTTGGGCCATTAGTCCACCGGTGTTCCTTGAGGAAGAAGAATCCAAGCCTTCAGCACATAGTCATTGTTAATTACTCCCCTCACCTGTATTTTTCTGTCTCAATAAAAGGCTGGTGCAGAAGTTGTTCGGGGCTACCCTGCAAAGAAGGGCTAGCCCACCTCCCTCAAGTGTGCACTACTAATCCGCATCATGCCTGATTCCTTCCTGCAGGATCCAGCCCAGAGCCACAGTGGCCTGACAGGTTGCAACACCCAGACAGAAAAAATATGTAAATGTCACCATTTATTACCTTATATACTATCAGTTGGTGTAAAACCAAAACCCCTCTTAATTACTTATTTGGCTGTCTTGTAATTATTCAAAACAGCATGGTTTAAAGGATTCATACTGTGGTTCATGTAAATTCAAAATCATCTGCAAAAACAAACATAAAAAAGAGTTGAGCTCTGCAGGCCCTATGTGAGAAATTATCTCATATTTCTCTACCTTTCTATTAATAGAAATATGCTAACTACTAACTGATTCATGTCAAGCAAGACTACTACAAAATCAGGAATTAGTTTTTTTAAAGTTATTTCGTCTTTAAACAATATCTTCAGATAGCTATGTTTTGTTTTATTTTGGGTTTTGCTAACTATTAAGTCATTAATAATTAAATGGTTTTCTAAAGTCAAGCAGTTTTCATACCAAATCAGTTGAATTTTCACTGTTTCATATGAAACTGTTCATATGAAGATTAAATATCAGCACACTGCGTATAATTCAAAACCTTTTTTATTACATAAATTTCAAACTGTAAAAAGTGAACAGAATATTATAATGAAACTCATGTACCCATCATATAGCTTCAACAATTATCAGCATTGTGCCTTTCTTTCATATTCTACACTTCCTCTCATTATGCAGTCCAGTTACCAATGTTGCTGTTATAATCCTAATTATTTAGAAGTTTTGAAGTAAAATTGACATTTAAATTGTGCAAATTGTTCATATACATTTTGAAAAAATAAATACAACCATCACCTATATTTCTAACATAAATATGGTATTTATATCTCCACCCAAATTGTCTAATGTCTCCCCTTTATTCTCCCATCTTGCTCCCATTAAAGATAAGCACTGTTTTTTTTTTCTACATTGAATTGCTTGTAATAATTCTAAAACTTTATGTAAATGGAGTAATATAAAATAATACACAATATTTTGGGTCCAGATTATTTTCACTCACAGTTAAGTGTCAATAAGTTGACTTTACTCAGAAACACAAACCTTCCCAGGACACTATGTATAATTTCCTGAAAGAAAAGCCATTAAATTAGATATTCAAGCATTGAATAGACAAAGGATCTCCTCACCAGGAAAAAGCCCAGTTCCCATACCTCCTATATTATTGCTCATAATCAGGCAATAGTAAACTATGGCATTTTTCATATTTGGAAAGTTAATATCCAGGTCATAAAGTCTGATCCAAGGTTCTGTGTTCTCAAGATATTGTCCTTCTGTTAGATATCACTTCTCTTTCTGAGTAGTGTACGAACAATGCTATTGCGAATTTCCTTGGTTTTGATGCTGTAGACAATGGGGTTGACTACAGGTGGGAAGAAGAGGTAAGCATTGGCCATGGCAGTCTGGAGGAGTGGAGGTAAATTTTTTCCAAAGCGGTGCATCAAAGAAAGGCTGATCATGGGCACATAGTACACAAGCACAGCACAGATGTGTGACACACATGTGTTGAGTGCCCGCCACCGCCCTGCTCCAGAAGCTATTCCCAATACTGTGTGAAGAATCAGTGCATAAGAAACCACAATGAGCAATGAGTCCAGGCCAAAGGTGGAGGTTATGACAAATAGACCCAGGATGCTATTGGGACGAGTATCTCCACAGGGCAATTTGATCAGATCTGAGTGGAGGCAATAAGAGTGTGTGAGGGTGTTGTGGCCGCAGAAAGGCAGGCGCTTCAGGAGAAAGAGCAGAGGGAGCATAAATGTCACACTTCGTAAGGCAATGGCAGCACCTATTCCTATGATGCGGGGAACAGTTAGGATGGTTGTGTAGCGCAGTGGGCTATAGATGGCCACAAAGCGATCCACAGACATTGCCAGAAGGACATCTGACTCCATGAGGGTAAAAGAATGCATAGAACACATCTGGAGCAGGCAACCTCCAAAACTAATATCAGTAATGCCAAAGAGAAAGATGCTTATCACAGTGGGCATAGTGGAAGCAGAGACGCCAAGTTCAACCAAAGCCAGCATGGCTAGGAAGTAGTACATGGGTTGGTGCAAGGCTGAGTCAATCCGGATGACATGAAGGATGATGCCATTTCCCAAGAAGATGATAGTGTACATCAGGCAGAAGGGGATGGATATCCATGTGTGTTCTGCCTTCAGCCCTGGGATGCCAACAAGAGTGAATGTTGCAGGTGTAAACTCCATAGAACTATTGAAAGTGTCATGGTGAAACTTCACCTGAAGATATTGAGAAACATTTGGAAATAGAAATATATAAATTTCTAGTCTGTCATTGTACATCAAATTCTGAGATTCTGAGAAACATATTGAAGACATCGTCTCAGAAAGGGGCTGAATTCATTTCTGAAACAAAGCCACATGTAAACCACAGTGTATGGAAGAGAAACCTAGTTAGACATGCAGAAGAGAATTCTAACATGAGCCAAACACAGAAGGTGTTAATAGAAATCTCAGGCTGAGATATTTATGGTACTGAAAGACTGACAATAAGCAAAAAGATGATGTATTCATCATGGAAATTGGGACTAAAACATGGAAATTGGGACTTTAATGATCTGGTACTTATAGTATATAAAAGGAGTGAATGAGTAGTGAAGGTAAGGTACACTTGTAAAGAATATTCATAATTGTAAAGTTTGATAGTTTTTAGATCTCAAGGGGAATCATAAATCACTTGTAGTCCAGACATTTTATATATATACACACAAATAATTATATAAGGTAATATATTCATATCATTTATCTTACATTTGGAATATGAGATATTGAGCATATGAAATAAAAAGAATAATTTAATATATTAGATCATTAGCATGCAGTATTTTCAAATGTCTTTTTATTAACTCACCAGTTCACTCTTTATCCACCTGGTATTCATGGAAAACTGAGAAGGCTTCTCTGTATTTTACAAGAGATTCAAAGTCTTCTGCTGGATCTCAGGTCAGGGCTGAAGGAAACACCAGAGCCATCAGTATCTCATAAGCCAGGTGTGATGGTGGGGCTGCAGTGCAGTGATAGTGATATTCATTGAGGAACAAGTTTACTAACACTAAAATCCCCTTTAAAATCCCGCAAAACTCTCTTGTAGCAGAGCCTTGGATGTTAAGTTAGGGGCCAAAGGCAAATTCAGGATGTGGCTCTGGCGTGGAGATTATGAAAGAAGATAAAGGCTTTCTCCCGTGTTAGGCCAAGCCTCTTGGTTAGGTATAATCAACAGAGTGTTAATAAATATTTAACAATCAGCTTTCCAAATAAAAGTACTATAATTTGTACCAGTTTCCAATTTTGCGGTTTAAATCCTTCTACCATGATCAATTTCAAGTTCCCATCCTGCTATCACTGAATGCAGAGCTGACATGTGCATAATCAGCTTTCCCACACTGGTGCAAGCCAGCATTATGAATAACTGCAGCTGACTCTAGATCTCGGACACTTACTTACCTAGGTGGAACTGACAGCTAGCTCATCAATGCTTGTATCCCATGTTTTACTATATATTTGTAACAGGGCTATAGGTGTCGTAGGTACTTACCTTTATATGCACTTAGCTGACTAGAAGGGGAAAAGGCAAAATTGGTGAAAATCCCTCAAGGAGCAATTAACTAAGAATAATTATTTCCAGAACTTGTAGGTATATTATAGAGAAGGGGAGGGAATGGTTCTCACAGACCAGCAGGCAAGGGAATAGGCATAAAACAAGCCAATGTAAAGCAAAAAGAAGCCTATAAATTATTAATTTTACAAAGTCACAAAGTAATTTTAAGATAACATGTTGGTTTATATTGACATGGATCTTCCTATCTTTTCACTTTGAATCCTTTTAATGTTGACGTATAAAATTATGTTCTATGTAATTTTTATGTGGTCCATTTAACATATTTTTCCTGTATAACTTATACTTTTTATTGTGAGGAAGCTAGTCCACAAACAAGGTAAAAAACAGATAGATATAGAGTTGCATAGCTACAAATAGACCTAGAGACATACTCTAGGTAGAGACAGAGAGTGATGTTTATAGTGATAAACAGAGTTGGAGACAGTAATACTGATACAAAAACATAGCAACAATGAGGGGAAAGGAAGTAGAGAGCAATCACACAAGTGTCTGCCTTGAATCCATTTGACATTTGTTTGAACATTTGGGTGATTAGAGATTTTATTTAATTACTTCCAAATGTATAAACATATTTTTCAGTAGCATGTCTGGAATGGTGGCCTGGTCTTTCCACATTATTTGGAGGAGATATATGTATATACACACACGGATACATATACATACATACAGGGTGGCCATAAAATTTGTGTGCAATTTTAAATTGCATGAAATTTGAATTGCACACTAACTTTATGGTCACCCTGTATATACATACATACATATATAAAATTACTTTAAATTATCACATAAATATGGATCTACCTCTTGTCTCTGTAGTCTATTTGATCTAAGTGTCTATTTATTCATATCCACACTCTGCCATTATTATTCTTTTTTTAATATATGCTTGTATATAATTGGTGAAGTTATGTTTTAAGTTTCCATTCTAATTTTTTAATTTATTCTTTCATATAGGGATTAAAAGCCAGCATCCAAAAAAATCGAGTATTAATCCAAATGTAAGTGCTAAAACTGTAAAGCTCTTGGAAGAAAATAAATGAGGAAATCTTCATGAAGTTCCTTTTGGCAATAGATTCTTAGATATGACACTGAAAGTTTCAATAACAAAAATAAATAAATTGTATTTCATTAAAATTAAAAATTGTCATGCAACAAAGAATTTTAGTAAGAAGACATAAAGACAGAACCGAATAGAAGAACATATTTTCAGATCATGTATTTGTTTTTATTTGTTTCTTTGTTTCTTTTTAGACCAAGTCTCAGGCTGATGTGCAGGCTAGAATTCCATGACATCACCTTAACTCACAGGGTTCAAGAGATCCTTCTGCATGAGCCTCCCAAATAGCTGGGACTGCAAACAGGGTCTTGCTCTTGATCAGGCTTATCTTGAACTCCTACAATCCTCCCACCTCAGCTACCTCCCAAGGTGCTAGGATTACAGGCATGCACCATCATGCCCAGAGAATATATTTAATAAGAATTCAATTTTCAGAGTGTATGAAGAACTCCTGCAACTCAAAAATAAAAAGTTAGACAACCAAATCTAAAACTGAACAAATAATTTAAATGCTCATTTCCTCAAAGAATAAATGACCAGTGGCCCATGAAAGGCTAACCAAAACTGTAATAAAATACCACTATATATTTATTAGAATACTTATAATTTTTTTAAAAAATAAAACTAGTGGCTCGGCGCCTATAGCTCAACCGGCTAAGGCGCCAGCCACATACACCTAAGGTGGCGGGTTAGAATCCCCAGCCCGGGCCCGCCAAACAACAATGACGGCTGCAACCAAAAAATAGCCAGGCATTGTGGCTGGCGCCTGTGGTCCCAGCTACTTGGGAGGCGGAGGCAGGAGACTCGCTAGAGCCCAGGAGTTGGAGGTTGCTGTGAGCTGTAACGCCATAGCACTCTACCCAGGGGGACAGCTTGAGGCTCTGTCTCAAAAAAAATAAAAAAAATAAAAAAAATAAAAAATAAAACTAGTGTCTGGAATATGAAAAAGATGGAACCTATATACATTGCTAGTGAGACTATAAATAGAGAAAGCTCCATAAAAATAATTTGATGTTTTCTCAAAAAAAAAAAAGCATTAGAATTACTATATGACCCCAAATTCCCACTAGTAGGTATGTGTGAAAAAAAAAATTGTAAACAATGATTTGAGCAGATACTTGTAAACAAATGTTCCTTGTAGCATTTTTCACAATAGATAAATGGTGGAAACAACAAAAATGTTTACCAACAGATGAATGGATGAGCAAAATTGGTGTATACACACAATGGAACAAGGGTAAGAGCCTCTCCTGATATGACCATGAGACTATGTGGTTGCCAAATTTAGTTATTTTTAAAAAATCATTTTGCAATTTTTAAAAATATATGTTCTTTCATATAGTAGTTCTAGGGTCATAACAAGATTGAGTGGAAGGTACAGAGAGCTTTTCTATAACTTCTGTCCAACGTGCACAATTCTCTCCATTATCAGTATCACATGCCAGCGTGGTTCCATTTGTTATAATCAATTTACCACATTAACACATCATCAAAGTCAATTGTTTTCATTAGGATTCATTTTCAGTGTTTTATAGTCCATGTACTCGTGCCAATATATAATGACATATGTCTAAGACTATAAAATTATAAAGAATAGTTTAATTTACCCCCCATTTTTCTGTGTTCCACCTATACATCCTTCTTGTTACCTAACCTTAGTAATACTGATGTTTTTACCTTCTCCATAGATGTTTAGCTTCTAATTGTTGATTAATCACTTTAGCTTTTTATAAAATTTTTCTAGAGTAGCAATTAAGTCTAATATTAATGACCATATTTCTCTGTACATTTAGTTACTCTTTCTTCCACATTTTTTCATTGTTGTAGTTTTCCTGGTTCAAAAGAAAGATGTAAGGTTGCAATTATTTGCATAAGAAAGGGATGTGAAATACTCCAGAAATCTACTACAACTAATGAGGAATAAGTAAATTTTGCAAAAGTTGTGGAACACAAAGTCAATATACAAAAATCAATTGTGTTTCTATATACTAGCAATGAACAATTAGAACCTTAAATTTTAAGAACATCATTCAAAAGCAAAAAAAAAGAGAACTATTTAGAAAAAATCTGATCAAAGATGTCAAAGATATGTATAATGAAAACTATAAAACATTGTTAAGAGAAATTAAAGAAGGTCTAAATAGAAACACAAGATTGGACAATTAAGTTTGTAAACTCAGCCCTGGGAACTTACTGCCTCTTTGCTGGATATCACTGCAGTCACTTTCTTAGGACACTCCTTGGGAAGCTATGCGCTGGTGCCAGTGCCTAGTACACCCTTGAAAGCACTTTCTCTAAGATGAGTTCATGAACTTAATTATCAAAACCTGTACACTGACAGCTCTAATAGCCATTCCAGGAAAAGAGTTCCAAACTTGGTTTGAAGGCAAGAGTAGGCACTGGCATAGGTGCAGAGCTTCCCAAGGGAGTGCTGCAAAGGTGACCATAGTTAGGCCAGTGGTGTGGAGGGTGCCTGTAGTCCCAGCTACTCAGAGGGTGAAGCAAGAGGACCTCCTGAGACCAAGAGGTAGAGGTTGCTGTGAGCTATGATGACACTACAAAACTGAACCCAGGGTGGCAGAATAAGAAAAAAAAGAAGTGACCATAGTGATATGCAACAATGAGGTATGCAACATTTTTTCT